TTCGATTTCCGAGAAATGATTTTAGTATTTGCGGAAATGTAAATTTAGTATAACACTAATTGATTTTATGATACGTAGTGCTACCTCACCATTTTTCCGAGTATAAATATCGAATGACACAGTAAGGCCTCTAAACTTGAACAGGAACAAAGTAATTAACTTTGACAACTTGATTTGATCAAATAGAAAAGTTCGAGTAAAATTGGAGAGAATTTTAAGTTTAACTGTGAAATATGACTATTACAAAAAGATTTTAACTGTTATACCTTTCTTACTCTATCATAGTACAAGTTGTACATTTTTTGTTGTCGTTTTTTGTGTGGTGACCAAAAAACCTACATGCTATTCGCTTTCGATACACTTCACTTATAAACAAAATATTTTTGCAAAACATTGTAAAAGATTTCTGCACAAATTTTATGGATAGATGCAAACAAAAAATTTGTTATACTATTACTCGATCTTAGCGGAAGTGTTGCGTTATAAAATTTAGTATGCATACTTATGATTTTGAATTTAAAGGTTATAATAGGGAGTTTATGTGGGAAGTTTAAGATATACAGAAACAAGTTTTTCTTTGTTTACTATACAACTCTGTCAAACCATTTGTTCTGTCAAAACTCACTGAAGAAATTAATTTTATTACATCACACATTCAAAACAAATGCAATGAATGCACTTTACAGTTGCACTTAATAATTGGCGCAGCTCATTAAACATAAAAAAATATTAATTTTGCATTGTTGTGTATAAATAAAAAGAATTGAAGAAGCAGCTGTCATAAGTGTAATTATTTGTGTAAACTATTTGTTTTGATTCTTAAAGTATATAATTAAGTAATTTAAGTATAGTTAAACATAAAAGCGGTGTTTAGTAAAAAGTCTTTTTTAAAACGGAAAACAAACTTTAGCATACCATAATTAATGTACACATTGTTTAAGCATGTATCATGCTAAATGTAATATTGTTTAGTTGAAAATTAGAAAAATACTTGTATGCACCTACATATATTAAACACCTTCACATTTTTATACCAATATACGAACTTATTTTCGAAGGGTATAATAAATTTGCCTTTCCTATTTGTATCGCTAAGAAATAATAGTCTTAGATATAGACGTAAGTATATGTTTTTAACCAGGCTCAAATTCTAAGTCGATTTAACCATGTCTAAATGAGCTCAATTCATCAAATTTTCACAAATGATTTATAATTGTAAATACCGCAATCCTATTTAAAAATTGGATGTGTTCGGAGCAGCTGCCTTACGCGGCTCTTAATTTATTATTACAGCTTAACGATGAGTTTTGTTCGCACGAAGATTTGATATTAAAACTTAAGAGATTGATAACTGTACAATTCGTACTTGAGGCATGTACTTGAACCATATCTTTAAATAAAGCACTCTACACTAAGATTAAAAAGGCAGATGTGCCATAAGGTAGCATACAACATGTTTTATTATGCTTACTTTATACAAGTGATTTACCATAAATAAAAAGTGTAAGTGAAAAATGCATTGGCAGACGAAAAAATTGCATGTAGCAAGTTATAGTGAAAAAATTATTGGAAAACAAAACTAAATTAAAGCAATCTGTGTATGTAAAAATCACAAGCAAAACATTTAGTAGACCCACCATAATAAAATTTGAATGCTGCTAGTGTATCAATCTAAAACATAGCAAAATACTTAGAAATGACTTTGGATGTAAAGTTCAGATACTATAATATGTTCTCAGAAAAGAATATGTCAAGAAAACAAGTATACGAAACTACGGATTTCTAAGCTCTAAATCGACAACAGACCAGTAAGTGTTGATATACATATAACCAATAATTAATAAAGCCTATATGGACATTTAGTTATAAGGTCGCGCCAACTAAACGCATATTGAACATTAATATGATAGGTGCTCTCTAATCTGTAAGAAATACTAACATCCATATATATAGTTCGGCATTCCCATGCTCCAGAGTATGTTCATGAGATAAGGAGCTGTGCTGTGAAAGTTAAGGTCCGTTTGGAACTGTTATTTTGAGTCTTCTCGACTTATAAAGTATAGGAAGGCAGAAAGGCGGAAGCAAACAAAATCTCTGGATTTAGTCTAAAGTGAAGACCTTAAAGCACGCTAAGCGCAAATATCATAATGGTTGATCAGTTGGAATTTTATTATATCTAGGTACGTTTTAGAACTATTCGGGTTCATCTATCTTTGCCTCTCGATAATTTTAATGCCTATATACATAAATTAAACAAAACAGGTCCTTAGTAGTTTTCTTGTTTGCTTTACAAAACTATTTTTTAATTACATTTGAACAAATATTGCTAAATACTATATGTACGTTGCTCTATTTTAATGCATATTACTTTTAATATTTACAAACAATACATATTATGTAATTCTCACCAAATTAAATACTATATTTCAAAACAGCAAATTTTAATTTAAACAAAATGAGTCACATTGTGTCGCCATTTAAAAATTTTCTCATTTTTTAATTTTTTATTGTTGTTTTGTAAATTTCAATAATTCTTAATGTAAAATCAGCTAATGAAATTAGCGTCAGCAGAATAACACTTCAAATATTTCAACAATATATCAATTAATAACTCTCAATATTTTAAAAACAACATGAAGGAGGAAAACGAATAAGTAAATAAATAATTGAATAAATAAACAAAACAAAATATAAATTTATTCCATTACGAAAAAAAAAAACAACTCAGAACAGTTAAATGAAAAACGAAAAGTTTTTGTTTCTTTTCATTTTTTTTTTTGTTTTTTTTTTACATTTTCTTTTTTTTTTTACATAAAAATCGTTTTCATTTTAAAAATCTATTTATTTCCAATCATTATCCTTGTACTATTTATTAGACGACTATTTAATAATAAAGCCTTAATGTTGATGACACTTTGGCACAAAAAAAATTTTCTATACATATAAACACACATAATACCCGTATACAAACGCGACGAAAATAAATTTTGAGAAATGAAATAAAATACAATAAAAAGAACAGGAGAGAAAGAAAAAAAAATAAGCGTCATAATAATTTACAGTTATTTTTCTTTCTTATTTCATTTTTCATTATAATATGACTCCTTTCTACCATTTCCAACAACATAAAAAAAAAAACGACATTATTTGTTCTTACTTCCGCTCCCCTACTTTAAAGCTGATCCCATTCTACTTTAATGTAGTTTTTCCTTTTTTTTTCTGAACAAAATGAAAATAAAATCCCCAAAAAACTTATTTGACCGTAAATTATTCTGAAAGAGCTATAAAATAATATCACTTTAAAAAAAAAACATAATAAAAAAACACAATAACAAAATTAAAAAAAAAACAAAACAAAATAAATAAATACAAACAAAAATGAAAAATAAAAATTTGCAATTTATATTAATAATAAAAATGAAAAAAAAAAAAAATGAAATGAAAAGTTTATCTCTGAACCACTTACCAAAGGACTATTACTTTAATAATAATTTTGAACTGTAAACTCGCTATCCTGTAAACGGATCTTATTTCGATTGTAACTTTTCCATAAAAAGAGAAAACAATATTAAAATATTCACCAGATTTTTGTATCAGTATAATGTTATAACACAAGAGAAATTTATCATAACAAAGTGAAAGCAAAATGTTTTAATCGAGCCCCCTGACAACACTATTTTAGTTTCAACACTGTATAAATATTGTAAGTCGAGTTCACTTCTAATAAAAACGACCACATTGTATTTTAAAAAATCAATTATTTAGGCATCAATAGTTATTAATACTATACGGGGGCCATACATTTTTCTGAAGATTATGTTAAACTTCGTAATACCACAGAAAATTCTATGCAAATATTCACGAATAGTCCTGGTTTAGAATTATATCTACAAAAGATGCTGAGATGCCATTAGCGTTACACTAACTCCTAAATGAACTAAGTTACACTGTGCTGGTTATCTGGACATTTCGCAGTGAAAGGAAGCGAAGCGACAGATACGTCGGGGAGGAAGGTGACCATATACTGTTGGTTGAGTACTAAAAAAATAAATCAGAGGAGGAGCAGTCGCAGCGCTAAAGAAGTCTTCTAGGGCTGCGGCACACCAAGGGGTTTCTGTGATTTAAGAAGATTATAGAATTGTTCAAAAATCAAATGAGAATCTCCATCGGTACCTTAGGTATCACCTTATGGGGATGGGCCGAGAAAGTGAGAATGCTTGAATATTTTGCAGGGAGGATAGGGAGACCTCGGGTCACCTTCTGGAAGATTGTGGGGCTCTCATCCGCAGAAGAAGAGAAATACTGGTGAACTATGTACTCACTCTAGCAGAGCTGCGGTCCATGGGACCTTTCATGATATTCATTATATCCCTGAGAAATTAGTCAGCTTCTTATAATCGAATCAATATAGATGGAATTTGGTAAATATATCAGTAAAAGCATATGATCAAAAATAAAAACAAAGTGACAGTGACAATGTTGGGTTAGTTGTTATGTATTTTTCTTTCAAAATGTTGCAAACATTTGACTGCTAACAATATATATATATTTATACTATTATGTATAAAGTTAATAAAAATAAAAAGCTACTTAACAAATTATGGCCGACTATTTTTTTACTCACCAAAATTTCGTTGCCTTTAACTTGAAAATAAATAAGAAATAAAAATAAATTTTATAAATTTTTTTAATAAAAAAAGAAAATATATAAGTTATATACTTACATAATTAGATTTACTGACAATGCAAATTATTGTTGATTTTACAAAAAACAATTGAAATTTAAAAAAATCTTGATAAAAATTTGTAAGAAACCTTAAATAAAATTTTTTTCTCATATTTATAAAATATTTTAATAAAAATTTTAACCTATAAAACCTATAAAACAAAGTTTCTAATTGATTTCTCGTAGCATTTAACCTTATCAAATGGTTAAACATATTAAATGCTTTATAGAAAAGTTAAAGTTTTATTTGGGATCAACAAGACAATTGTTTTTTACAAATTAAGTACGCTAGCAAGTTAAATTTTTTAAGGCACTTAAAAAAATTTAGTATATTTAATTCAATTCTAAAATCATTTTTAGTAAATTCCCTTATATTAAACATCCTTATATATTATATTACCGCTGAAGTGACCACGTTTTGCAGGTTCTGTGAGGAATATTAGGAGACCTAAATACCCTATTTAGAAGAAATGTGTTACTCTCACTCCTAGGAGAAGCGAAATACTGGGCTACTTTGCTCTCACGGCGGCGCAATTGCTGGATAGCTATGCTTTGCACTCAGTGGAAAGAATACAATACATTCTTATATGTGGTCGTGGCGCACCATTAGCCGGTTTTAAAAATTTACAAATATACAAATTTACCGCAATACAAAGTTAGCACCTTTCAGAAGGATTATGAAATATTAATATAACAAGTTCGGCTATGTTTAATCAATTTATTTGAATAATTTTATTTTTGCTCTTTAATTTGTGATTTTCGTTTTATTTTTTAAATAATTTATTCAAAATAAACATTTTCAATTTTTGTTGCGATATCGCGTCCTGCTAATTTTTATGTCATATGATGTGAACTTCAATCAACTCTACTGTTATCGACTAATTTAATATCACAAATATTTTATTTTCTTATTACTTTTAATTATTTTTACATTTTGTACAATGTATAACAGATTTTAATCTTTAATAAACTATATATATTCAAAATTTCAAAATAATAAAAAGTTATGTAGTACATGTAGTTCTACGAAACTTCAAATTATAAATTACATACTTATTATTACTTATAGCTCATTTTTTTTGTAAAATAGAAAATAGAAAAAGTTTTTTTTCCTAGGATAGTTTTGTCTCTTTATGATACCACCGTGTATTCTTTTCCAATTCCCTGTCACTAATTTACACGTCTTCACATTATATACAGTGTTCAAAATGTTATATTTTCCCTATAGAACATTAACATTCTATAGTGTATGTTGAAATATTAATATCATAACTTTTGTAATTCAACTGAAAAACTAAATAATTGTGATGGATTACCACGACGACATAAACTAACAGTAATTTTATCTTTGTTAAAATTATCTAAACATAGTTGAGTATCTTTATGTATTAGATTTTCACCAGAACGTATCCAACTTTGTGTACCACCATTCATCATATTATACGCTTCTCTATCCCTTCTTAATAATAACGATGTTGAAAAAATTTTATTCATATTTTTCGTATTTTGATTCTCAAAATTAATATTATTATACACATTGTTATTATTATTATTAGAAATACTGTTAGAAAATTCTATTTCATTATTATTACATTTTTCTACTATAACATTTTCAGTTTTTCTCATTACATTTATACAATCTGTACCGGATTTTGTACTCAATTTTCCAGTTGTTGAATGTAAATACCAATCGGTTACGTCTGTATCCTGGCAATTTTTCATAATTAATTTAGTTTTATTTTGTTCTTTTAAAGTATTTTTTCCTATTATTCTTTTAATAGATAAACATTTATTACCAGATGTTAGTTTACCGAAAGCAATATATTCTTCATTTGGTAACCTTTTTGTTAAAACATATGAAAATTGTTGATATACCAAGTGTATCATGACGATGACAAAAAAAGTATCCATTATTGTATTCATAGATGATCAAAAAAAAAATAAAAAATAAAGTTTTCAAATTAGTACTTAAAAAGCAAGAAAAAAAAAAGTAAAAAAGCAATTTCAAATAATTTTAATATTTTTTTAGAAATTACAATAAAAAAAAATTTTTTTGTCACACAAAATATTCTTTTGAAAAATGAAAAAATTCTGTTGAAATGGAGATAGCTAGATTGTATGTAAGAGGAATTATTTATGCCCTGAAAAAGGATAATAATATAAATAAAAAATCCTTTACGAAAATAATGAGAAAATGTACAAAAAAAAATTTTTTTTTTTCATTTTCAAATAAAATTTTGTAAAAATAATTTTAAATAAAAATATTTTTAATAAGGTTCATCCAATGTCCAATAGAAGAAACAGCGATAATTTTAGGTGTGTGTATCTTCTAGAAGAATGTAGCACACTAAACATCCACCGAAGTAATTGAGAGTAGTTCATAATGAGAAAATGTTTTTCAAATAAAAAAGAAGAATCATCCACACCAATAATAACTATTGTAAGCAACTACTCTTCTAAACTATTTCTACCGGGATATTTGAAATGTAATAAACTTTTCAAGGATTGAATTTATTCAAGCTTACATTTAAGTGCATAGTTCCAATATTAAAATGAAATTATTACATTGGTTGTATTACGAAAAAAATAACAACAGTTTTACCTCATTTCTGGCATTACATTTCGTAAGAACCATGAGAACGATTGACATTGCAGCTTTTCTTTAAGCTCATTAATTCGACTTGTATCAGGCATTTCTATAGCTGATGCTTTAGGCTTTATTGAATAAAAAAAGTACTTATACTCATCTAACCAGGATTCAGCTATCACTTTAGTATTACTAAAAATAAAATTAAAAATTACATTAACGAAAATCATCTATAGGACGTAAATTTATTCGATAAGTTAGAACAAATTACCACATATAGCGCATGTTACTTCATTACCATTTAATAATAAATGCAATATTTACCTTATATATGTACCAGCATTATGAGCCATTGGTAAATCAAAAGAATGTTCTTGTGTAAATAAATGACCTACGCGACTGCATGGTACAATATCAATTTGACCACCGCAACACCAAAGTTTTATAGCCATTTCTATTGATTCGCCTCCCCACATCTAAAAAACAAAAAGTTTTTTAAAAGAGTTTTCGAAAGTGCTTGCCGTAATTTTCGCTTGCCGAGTTTTAAATAATATTATCTGTACAATATCATTTAAAACTCTTATACGAACTTACTTTCAAAAGCTCATTGAATCCTTGCAACGTTAAAAACCATTCTTTAGACATCATGAATATACCACCAGAAAATGCTGGACTCCTAAACAGCCCATTTTAATTTCAAATTTAATTTATAAAAAGATCGAGAAGAGAATGTAGCGTTTATTATAATAAAAAAATTTAATTATTAAATGCTATTTTTTAATTTTTTATTTAATTTAAAAATTTTTAAATTTAATTAATTTACAATTAAATTTTTGAGTATGAATAGTTAAGTGTAATATTTTTTATACAGGCTGTATAAAAAATTTTTTAACAGAGTGAAAACGTTCATTTTCTTGGTGACATTACACTGGAGCTTTCTCTTATTTTTAACATTAGAGCTTGTTAACTTTGCTTTAATTTGGTATATGAGTCATTTTCAAACCTATGTATTTGCATAGCCTGTATAAACAATGCATATGCAAAGCAATCGCCTGAGTGTATGCAATACATATTTTTTAAATAATAGCTTTTGCATACAATAATGAGGAATTTGTAAGACACAAACGTTATAATAATAAGCATAGATACCTGTAATTAAGAATTATCTATGCTTAATATTTGATTATTTAAAAAATATTTAGAGACCGCTTAATTAAATAGGATTCAAGGGCACTGTTTTTAACCACGTAATAAAATTGTATATTTTAAAATTTGTCAATCAAACTCATTTCTATAAACTTTTGGAAATGACACACAAATTCAAACATTAACTGTTACCCAATTGCTCATAATAAATCATTTTAAACTAAATAATTTGTAAAACTTGTATTATTCTGGATTTTAAAAATTTAATAAATATATTGGTATTTTCTTGTTTATACGTTTCGCAATTACACTATAGTTCTGCAAATTTTCTTGTCTATGTACGAACTATAAGTAGAAACATTATTCAATTTAATTATTTTTCCATCGTGTCTATAAAATTTCGCCTATTTATACATAGTTAAAATTTTCCTAAGGAATATGAACAAACATACACCTAAACATATCCGGTATATAGGCAATGTACCACGGAAACTCAAGTATTTGCTCTTCTTTTTTAAACAAATCCACTATAATCCTCTTATATCAATGTACATGCATAATAATTACAATACATATTTTGTGGAAAAATTTCTCCATAAATGAATTATTGAATAACAAAAATAAATTCGCTGTACATAAATATATATATAATACATATATACTTACGCAAAAGGAACTGTTTCATCATAACCATTTTTAATTCTAGATACACGTTCCTTTTCTGTCATTGGTATCCAATTAAAATTTAATTTCCAATCAAATCCACCTTTTAGATATGATTTACCTTTTTCATATTGAAATGTTTTTGAATTTATTATGTCTAATATAGGACTTACTCCTGATTTTGGATATAAGTATAATCTAGATATTAATGGTTCCAACCATCCTACATTCAATTCACAATGGCTATCCAAAAAGAAAATATATTTTCCGGTTGCTAATTTTGCACCAATATTACGTGATTTAATAACACCAAATCTTTTGTTATTACGAATTAATTTTATCAATGGAAGAAATTGTAAATCGATTCCTTGGGTATCTAAAAGTATATATATATATAAATAAAAGTATATATCCATTTCAGTATATACATAAAATATATGCAGTTTTTTAAATGAGAAAATAAAAAGGGTATATAATATGTATGTATATACGACTGGAATATAAAAGTAAATTAGGACAATAACAGCTTTTTAATCACATATCATCATAGAAAAAAAATTAGACCATTGCGAGCTCAAGAATTTAATTAATGATTAAATTAAAAACAGGGTTCGCAAAATGATAAAGTATGGTGATGAACGCCCTCCTATGATTTATATCTAAGTTTATTAATCAATTTTTGGAATAGAATAATTTTTAAATTAAATAAAATTAACAAAAAAATTGTTTACCATCTTCATTAAAATCATCTATAACGATGATCTCTTTTAAATATTTCAACGGTGTCCTTTGTAAAACAGAAACAATTGTCCGTAAAAGTGTTGATCTTGCTTCATTATAAAATGTTATTATCACAGATACAGTAATATCATCTGGTAAATCATAAATTTGATTTTTACAACTACAAATTGAACAATTTGAAAATATTAAAAATATCAAAACTTTGTTATATGAAAAACAAAAAAAAATTACCTTTCAGATCTAGTATCAGGTAATTGACGAATTCCACCAATTTTATTACTATTTTCAACGGCAAAGGGATATTTAATTTTTGATTTTGAGTAATTTTTGTAGTCTCTTGCAATGTAAATATCAAAATTATGAACTAAATTGTCATCAATATTAATTGTTTCCTTTTGAAATTTATTTGGAAATAAAAAAAATAAAATGTCCAATTTTTAAGGCTACTTAAATTTTTTAGATATTTTTTCAAAAATAAAATTGTTTTGTTAGATTTAAAACGTGTCAGTTAATAGTAAAAGTGAACTGTGCATGTGAGGTTATAATTTTATTATTTCAAATTCAACAAAATTTTTCTCGGAATTATAGAAAATCTTGCAACTTTGTAAATATTTTAAAAATCTTCTGAATTATTGCTTTATGTATTCTGTTCAAAAACTAATGACTAAATAAATTCATTATATTAATAACAAGGACAATTTAAGAACAGCTGTCGCACTCTAAAAAATTTATCTCCCCTTTGAGACTTTGGGGACGGAAGCTAGCTATGTTTGGTCGTCCACATTTAAGGCAATTGGTGGGTATTCTCAATGGACACTGCCTCTCAATGGTCCATCTAGAAAGGATTGGCAGGGCAGTGAACGAAGTTTGCCTTTTGTGTTGGAAGAGGACGAAACGATGGAGCACTTATATGTGTGAAAACGAGACGGTTTCTCGCCAACGACTGGGATGCTTCTAGGGCAAGGGGGCTTTATAATCCCCGGGATGATCTCGCGGCTTGATGGTGCTGCTATACTGTGGTTTGTTAGGAGCTGGGGTAAAGGGGTAATGTAAGTTGGGACGGGAATCACAAAAGATCCTAAGGGTGGACGTGAGCGTGGCTTAAGAGTCTCGGTCCTGCGGGAAAAAAAAACAAGAACATTACTTTTTGTATAGAGCGCATGCAACAACTGATAAAATCATTTAGGTTCTCTTATTCTTTAATAACAAGCAGAATAAAGTTATAATTAAATTTTGCTTTGCTTTACTATTTGCTATACAAATTGGATTTGGAAAAAGTAATATTTTCATATACTTATGATTTAATACAAAAAATAATTATTATACAAAATATTATGTCTCATAAATATTAATATAAAAATTTTGCACATAAAAAATGCAAATACAAGTTTCCTGTAAATTGATAGGACGAAAATTCCAAAAGCAAAAGAAGTTTTGTAAATAAAGAAAGAATTTATTAATAATAAAAACTTGAAATTTAAAAATTAAATGGAAATTTAATGCCATGTACATATGTACATATGTCTATCAGGCGACCCCAGTTTAGAGACTAAATCCACAATCATTTCCAAATTTGTATGAACATCACAGGGAGCCTTGGAAATAACTTTCGGGAAAAAAATTGGATTTCTGTTAATTCTATAATATATTATTTAAATATTCGACGTTCAAATATTAATAGTTAAATAAAAAATTCGTTTTGTAAGTTCGCTAGAAAAATGTATCCAATCTTTTCTTTCTTCCTAATGGGCGAAACAAAATTACAAATAGAAATTTTTCATTTAAAAGTTACAATAAACAAATCAACGTAATTTCTTTTATTTTTGATTTCTAATTAGGAAAAATATCGAAAAAATAATTATAATACTCGTATATCTAGGGGACTTTTAATAACATACTCCAAAAAAATGGGAATACTCACAAATTGAATAATAACTAAGCGATTTGTATACTTTGGAATTATAGAACCTTAAGTAGAGTTTTTGTAAATATTATTGCTTTGAAATATTTCGGAAAATAATTTTAGGTTACTGGCGCGATGAAAGTTAATGGCATTGACATTAATAAAAATTATATTGGTATTATATAAAAATAGTAACCCCATTTATTTTTATTGTCTAGCTCTTTCCAGCTTGCATATGGCTATATTTAAATTATTAGTTCTAAATTAAACAAAAATTAAACACATACCAAAATTTGTTGCGTTACTAATCCACTAAATCGAGATGTTCTTAATACAAATTTTAAATTTATAATAAAAAAACAACTAAAACTTATTATTGAACTTATAATTAAAATATTAAAAAATTTCTTTCTTCGCAATTTTTTATTCATTTTCTTTTTTTATTTCATATAACATTCATTTTTATTTTCAAATAACTATTTCATACTTAATTACAATTTAACCTAGTTACCTAAAAGTTTACAATAATAATTATAGCAAATGAGAAAAAAAAAATTAAAAGTTTTAAATTAAAAACTATAAAATTCTATTTTAAATTTTTTTATTATACTAGAGTTAGAAATTCGTTCGTATATCATTATTAATTGGCGATTTTAAGTCTACTGATATATGAAAATTTTTTACTAATTTACAGTTGACTTGAGAAAAGTTTTTTCTAAAATCACATAAAAAGTAACTGTATATGTATAGGTACATTTATAAATACACATACATATGTACATATAAGTATTTCTAAAAATATTCTTAATTTAAATATTATTTTATATTTATTTCATTAAAACACAAAAAACAACAAACATAAAACTACAAACTTCTCTCTTCCACCCCACATACACAGCACTTTATTATCATTCTACGTAATTGTTTTAATTATATTATTTAAAACGGTTCTTTTTTTTTTTAAATAATCACAAAAACAACAAGATTTTTAGCGCCGCAACTCTTCAACCGCGATTATTTTCGTGATTAGATGTGTGTACTCACTTCTGTGTAAAATATAATTATCAAAACTAGTAACAGACTATGTGTGCAAGTTTCTATATTCAAATTTTTTATTACCACCAATGAAAATTGCACTAAATAAATTCCTCTCTATTATTACTCTTAGTAAGTCTTAATTTTTTTCCATTTTTTGCTTGTTTTATTTTTATATTATACTCTTAGAGTCTTAGACAAAATATAAATATTATATTTAAGCTTTAAAGAAAAAAAAAGAGAGAAAAATAAAACAATTACTAATTAAAAAGTAAAACCTAAGGAATTTTAGTAATAATTGTATAGAAAATCTTAAATAACGTTATAGTAATTACGCGTAAGTACAGTAATTTGTGTGCGAGAGTATGTAAATTTGTTATATTCACTTATATGATAATTCACACACAACTGATAAGTTCTGTTTGGGAATTTTATGAATTATGTTATACAAATCTTATGTATATATAGGTGTAGTAGGTATGTGTATCGCGGGAGATGATGATAAGAATGATCGGATGATGAATATTGTCTACGTTGATTTTAAACATAAATATAATAAAGATTGCAAAAAAATATTTTAATGATAATCGCAAAAAGTTCAAGAGAAAAATATATTTTTTTTTTGTCTAATAATAATTTTTAATGAATAGTGTAAGAGAATATGTACTGATAACAGAAACTGTATAGGTATTGATAACGTCATTTTAAAGTAAGGTCATTTTAAATAGAGATGAAAATATAATATTGAATGAATAAATTACTTTAATGTCTTAAATTAATTAATAAATTAATTTTGACAAAAACGAAATTTAATACAAAATTCGAGATAGGAATTAGTTTTTGAAAAGAATATTGTAAATTTAGTATTGACGAAAATATTTATCATAAAGCACAAGAATTTTACTTGATAGATATAAGAGATATAATATGTAGCCGCTCCGATATTCCAATAGAGCATGATGTCGTCATTAATTTATTTTATTTCTCCAATAGTGAGAAGAAATAGGAAATTTTAATTTTAATTTCGAATTTTAATAAGGAGTTTTTGCGTAAATATTATTACTCAGCGTCAAATTCTTCATAGGAATCCATTTGTCTCGTGCGAACATACGAGAATTCAAAAATGAAAAGAACAAACAGTGAACGTTTTTTTATCTGTACAATTTTAAATGAGCTAATCTTAATCCATATAATCTTAAGTGAGCATTTTTATATCCGTACAAAGGTATTTAAGATTTAACCATCTCTGCTAGTCTATCCGATCGTCCCAACGATAACTCGAAAACTAATTGAAGTAAGGTAGCCGAATTTCAACAAATAATTTATAATTGTAAATGTCGGAACAAGAATGCTGTTTTCAATAAACACTGTTGAGATAACATGAACGCTTATGATAGCTATGATACAATTTCAAAAGCTATTTGGCATTATCTGAGATATTATTGAAATTTTTTTGGTCGTTGTAGTAGCTGCCATACAATTTCGACAATTTGGTCATATGTTATAGAATTTATGCTGCAATTTTATATAAACAAGTTTATATTATAAATACCATATAAGCATAACATAACACTATACATATAAGGAAAAAAAATTTGCTGAAACTGTGTTGTAATTACAGTACAACTATTAAAATCATTCATTTGTACGGGTATCACAAAGTTAACACGGTCAACTCTACATATTCTCGTTTTGTTTTTAAAACAAAAATAGAAAATTTCAAAATATTGAAATTTTTGTTTCATTTCGAGACATCGTACATAAATCACGAACAGCCTTTCAAATACTCTATAAAGTGATAATAACGTTGATTTACATTTTAATCGATTTGCTAATTAATAGCATATAATTAGTTTTAAACTTTTACACTTTACACCGATATTTATACTTTACAAATATTTTTAATGCATTATAATTACTGTTGCAATATATCTTTATACATATGCATATATGAATATAAAATTACGGCAATTAACAAACAAGAATAATAATTATAATTAGTAATAGCACTATGAGTTGAAGAACGCACAATAAATTTACGTTTTCTGTCATATTTTATGGATTACATTCAATATCAATTTTTACGTTTTGTATGAAATTTAAAATTATTTAATGTTAAATTCTTCAGGTCAAAAGTTGTTATACAATACATTATACAGAGTACTATATACACAGACTCAATGAAAATTTTGCCAATAGAAATATTTTTTAATATAAACTGATGTCTCTATTCGGCTCGTTAAGTGGTTAGGCGGCTTTGGAGTGGCTGTTGACTTCCACATTATTTCGTTCAGAGCTATGTTGAATAGTAGTGGGGAGAGTGGACATCCCAGTCTTGCAGCTGCTTCGATGCGTAGTGGCTCACATAATTTACCATTATGGAGGACTCTAACTTCAGCATCCTTGTATAGAGCTTGTATGAGGTTCCTTATTTTTTATGGTATTCCCCTGATAGTCAATGCTCTCCATCAAAAATTATTAGTAATTATTTTTTATTATTGTTCATTTAACTAAAAGTATATAAAGAAATTAATCATCCTGGAAAATATTCCTATAATAAAATTTCCTTCTTTATTTTTTACAAATTCATATAAGTATATAAGTGCTTGCACTATATTTCAATTCGTGCTATTAGTATAGGATATTTTCATACCTTATTGGTATAGAATATATTGTAAATTTTATTAGATAAATTTATTTTCAAACCTCTAATATGTAGTGGCCCCATTATAAAAAAATATAAAATTCTTAACAAATATTGCATTTGCATGATAAAAGAAAAATAAAGCACAATTTACAATTTCTGTGTATACCTCCATATACAGTTATATACATAGAATACTTTTGTATTTTTAAAATAAACTGCAATTTTTATACCTTTCATATTCATCAAATTTTTCTTTAAATGTTCTTATATACATACATATCACACATATGAACCCATAGTGGCTATTTATGCAAAAAAATCTATTTAAGAAAATGTTTAGAAAATCTATTTTTAGGTGTCATTCATTAACATAAAAAAAATTTGTTTTCTAATTCATTCCGTACTAAGTTGGAAAGCTTAAGATAGGACTTGCAACTTATGTTAGACAATTAAACAATTTTGTTCAACAAATTTCATTAAAATTTTCACAAATTCAAAAGCATTAATCAAAATTGCAAGAATTTCACTCTTTTTGAATTTTTAATCCAATATTTTCTGCGTAGCTATAAAAAAAAGATCAATCATTCTTATAATTCAAACAAATCGTATGAAAAAAAATTTCATCAGCTTTGGTGATTTCATATTTCAAGATTGCGAAAAACAAATCTTCATTCAGAAATATGAAATTTTTATAAGTACAAAAAACATATATAATGTGTTAACAATAATTAATGGATGCAATTTTAAATAGGTAGTTAACACCAAATTTCAACATTATTGTAATAAACTACATAATATTAAAAAATTGCATATATTCAGGCGAAACTTATCGAAACATGCAATTTATTGTGTACATACACATAATTTTAACCAGAATGGTGGAACTTTTAAAGTATTATATACATAAGGTGAAAAATTATTTTATCTTTCACACTTTTTTCTCTGCCTTGAGAACCGTGAACAGTTAAAATTATGAAAAATCTAAAGGTAAATTAAGTGCTCATATTATATATAAACACTGCACAAAATATAATTTTATTAAACTAGTCATAGAAATCATTTTAAAACCTAGATATGTTTAAATAAATTTTCGTATTTTGGAAGATATGAGTTATTAACCATATGAGTACAAACTTTTCCCATTATATACATAGTTTGAATTAGTGAAAATTATTTATTTAGAATAGCCTATATTTCTCAAATCATCACTAAGCAAAGGAATCAGTTTGCAGCTCAAACAAAATATGTAAAGTCTGGAATATGACTTCGTTATACTGACGCACTCAGCTGAATAAGTGCAACTCATCATATTATATAAGTTAGCAGGGAGAACAGAAAGAATAGATCTGAAAATAAATATAGCCATAGATTAACCTGATGAGAATTAAAAACATGAATCAGGTCCACGTTTGCGTTCAGGGTGCAACCGTTGAGGTGGTATTAGAATTATAAACCTAAGTACAACAATAGCAAAAGAGAGAGGAACAAATAAAGACATAGAACGCAGGATTTCTAAGGCAAGACGTGCATTTTGCAGATTTTGAGCAACCTGGAAGTCAGCCCATATAGTACGCGCAAGCAAAATAAGAATAGTAAACGTGTGTATTAAGTCAATGCTACTTTACGGAATATTGCTGGTGTCCAAGCCAACATGCAAAAGACCCAGGTTTTCGTTAATAAATGTTTCAAAATTATGCAAATTATGAACCACGAACTATGGGTAATAAGGAAACAAGA